CGCAAGGAACCTCCCAATAGGCCTACAATTTACTCCTGGCACAAGAATTTTGTTCAGACCGGATGTTCTGTGCGCCATGCCAAGCCACCCGGTCGGCCACGTGTTTCTGACGCTACAGTGGAACAGATTAGGGAGAGCTTCGTTCGAAGTCCACGAAAGTCAACGCGACGTCCGTCTCGGGAAACTGGTGTTCCAAATGTCACTGTGTGGCGAGTGTTACGAAAACATTTACACGTAAGAGTGTACAAACTATCCATCGTTCAACACCTTACGGATGCAGATAAGGTGGTTCGTAACGAATTCTGGACTCCGTAATTTTCAGTGATGAGAGCACGTTTCATATCAGTGGTAAGGTCAGTACCCACAACTGCAGGATGTGGGGCACCGAAAATCCACGTGTCTCCCTGGAACATGTTCGTGATAGCCCAAAGGTGAACGTGTTTTGAGCCCTCAACAAAGAAAGAGTGTACGGGCCCTCTTCTACATGGAGACGACCATTACCGGTATCGCATTTCTGGACATGCTCCAAGAGTTCCTCATTCCACAGTTAGACGAAGATGACCAAGAAGGACGCATTCACTTCCAGCAAGACGGCGCACCCCCTCATTACCTTGGAGAAGTGCGCGAGTACCTCAACACCCGTTTCCCAGGTCGGCGGATTGGTAGGACGGCGCCGATAGCATGGCCACCTCGTTCCCCGGATCTTACTCCCCTGGATTTTTTCTTATGGGAATTTGTTAAAGATCGAGTGTTCGTACCACCTTTGCCTGCAAATGTCGTTGAGCTCCGAACTTGAATTACTGCCTCAGTTGCAGAAGTGACGCCAGAGATGCTACGTAGAGTGTGGCAAGAGACTGACTACAGGTGGGACGTCTGCAGCATTACCAATGGAAGTCAACTCTCCGAGGTAAAACTCGGTGCGTTTTGCTACATTCTGACAGTTCAAAACGTTGTGTATGTCCTCTGTATAAATTTATATAAGCTTTCAAAGCTGTAAAGCTCTTTTTGAAACACTCTGGGAAACAACATATTTATACTCGGCCAATTTGATACGGTTAACAGGCGTAAATGGGGCTACGCGGTAGCGTAGTTGGTTGTGGAAGTATGCTACAAACCGGAAGGTCGCGAAATCGAATCCCGATGAGGTCATTGGATTGTTTCAATTGACCTAATCCTTCCAGCCGCACTATGGCCCTGGGGTCGACTCAGACAGAAATGAGTACCAGTAATATTCCTGGGGTTAAAAGGCGGCCGGCGCGTAAGGCTGACAACCTTACGGCCATCTGTGAGCCGATTTTCTAGAAAATATGAGAGCCTTAACTTCTCACAACCCTATGGGCCTCCACGGCCTGATACAGGAATACCTGTACTTTTATTTTTTTTTTTTTTTTACTTTTACCAGGCGTAGATGGGAGGATAACATTATACTGGTTCTTAAAAGAAATATGGTGTGTGGGTGTGGGCTCGTGCAGCTGGCTAAGAAAAGAGTTCAGTGACAGGCTGCTGTGAATACATCAGTGATTAATCCGTTAATCAAAATAAAATTCAATTTAAAGTGAAACATTACCAAAAACGAGAACAACGCTAAAGAAACCAATAAAATATAGCCGGGAAATGTCTTGATTAGTTGAGTGACTAAGCTTCTCAAGGATTGTACTCCTCGGTGATAGTGTAGTAACACAAAACTGTCGCACTTACAGAGAGTACAGTTTTATTAGATATATTTGTGCAGAGGTACATGTTAAAAAAGATTCTACCCTAATAACTCGTATGTAATTTATTGAGTGCCACACCTACCCAGTCCCTACTCAACGAATGTCACGGTCTTATTACAGAGGAACAAGCTCCTGCCAACCTTGAGGAGCGTATCGTCTTCCGGGCACCCACGAAGAGTCTAAGTAACGCAGGGTCGAAGCGGAGCCGGTCCGAGGAAGATCGGTCAGCAAAGAGGACTAAGGTTGCGGGTGTAAAGAACACAAAACTACTGTCGTTTGGTCAGGAAGACGAAGACGATAGTTGAAAGGTATGTGCTTCTAGCCCAGATATGTAAACCTTATGTTCTTCCTTTTCGTAAACATAATGCAGGGAACAAAATGGTCTTCCCCTTTTTATTTACATGATTGTAACTTCAGCTTTTTATACAATACTGCTGTGAAGGTAGTTGGAAATACTAAAATTGGCAGTAACAAAGTAACATGAACCTAATCCTCTTGCCCTTCATTGTTACACGAACTTTCAATGCAGTTGTTCGTGTACAAAGCGTAATCATAAAGCCCGTAATTAGGTAACATCTGCACAAGAAATAAAGCTCGACAACTAGTCGAAAAGCAGACTACTTTTTGTAAACATATTCCGCTATAAGTGAAATTATTCTTTCGTAGTTGATCGGGCAGTGGGGTCTGGTAGTTTGTAACGAAATAGCAAGAGAGAAAGATAAAGATGGGAGTAAGGGAGAGTAAGAGGAGAGAGAAAGCGAGTGTGGGTTTCTGGGAGAGAGAGAGAGAATGAAGACAGGGATTCCAAATCAAATATGCTCTCTGATTGGTCGTTTCGGTCGTTTCTTCTAGCGTTTCACAAAGTTTACAGGGTTTAGGTTAGGTCGCGGAACGGATATGACATGGAGAAAATCGATAGTTGTATGGCAATAGTGATGTTTGCCATAGTTCTTTGTGTGGATGGCGTTCGAACAGACTATACTTCTCTTCCTGCATATGGATGGTTTTATCAGATGTTGCTGTGGAGGATGAAGACGTGCATATATATGTTCAGACAAATATAATGTATTTATGAATATTATTATTATTGCATTCGCATGACGTTACGAATATGATTATCACACTAAAATTGGTAGGCTTTTAACCATTTCAGGTCTTCTTCCACCTTCTTTTCACTTCTGAAGCCAGAGCTGTTGTTGGTATGTGAGTGATGTATTTCTCATTAAACGAAGGTCTGTGTATTAGTTTAATGTGGAAGACATCACCATGGGCGGAATTCTGTTTTGTATGATCGCTGCTCGTTATGCAGTTAACAGAGTTAGAAATTAACATAAATGACATAAACTAAATCATGACTTCCTTTTGCTGACGCACTCATGCTACGCTCAAATCTGATGATGATGATGTGGATGCTTTATATTAACATATGATTGATTAAACAGAGTTGCTTGGAATAGGTAGACTTATAAACTGGTCGTTACGTCTTCATCCTATTGATTTACGAAACTGGCAAATTTGAGAGATAAGCCGTCGGCCGATAAACGCAGTTCCGAATAATTTTTCTATATTGCCATTTCTTATAGTTAAACAAAAACATTATGGTTAATAAAAAAATGGCGCCAGCGCATAAGCGCCCCACCGGCAGAACGAAGATCGGGACCAACCATTGCAGTGTGTGGGGGATGCTGGGTAGTTCTAAATTCAGCTTCCTTCGCGAGTCGCACAGATGTTAAGGGCGCGGCCCCCTGTACCACAAGGCGCAGGTAGAGCCCGGTATATTTTTCAACTGTCACTATCGTATAGACGCGGTACAAATGTTTTGAATGCTCTGTGTAACGCTTGTAGATAATGACCTCAAGAAAATGTTGGGATAGAACACACGCAATGTCCTTAAGTTGGCCTTCCATTAAAGACGTTCTCCTTAGGTCTAATTGAATCTCGAAAACTTGGCAACACTGTGGGAAAGAAAATCTTAGTTCTACGAATTTGGATGGATCAATGGCGTGTTTTGAAAGACTACTGGAGAGCGAAGTTGAAACTCCGCACTGGTAGCGTTATGAAGCTTTGTTCGTTTTACTCTGTTTGTATCAATAATTGTACAGTATTTGTTTCGTGAATCGAGATTTCTTACGAGGCGGATTACGGTGAGGTGGCAACCTGGTTCGGCCAGGTCATTGCCTTTATATAAGAACATTCATCCTACCATAGAAAGCAGCCGATTTTTTTAAAATGTAATACATGTCGGTCTGAAATGAAGAGATTCCATAGATTATATAATTGTTATGTGTGGAAAGACGTTTTAACATTGCTCCGCATGCAGTGACGCCCCAGATACCTGCTTACCGGAGACACAATATAACATTCTCACTTCATTTAGGAATTGTGCAAAAGGAATAAGCATCATCCAAGAGTTTCTTCAGGCGTCTGTTCCCCCCCCCCCCTCCCCCATTTCACGTCTGCCTCTGAATAATATCTGTGCATAAGAGCCCACTGATTTTAATTGAAGTTGATATTTTTTTTGTTTAGAAAACACAGCAGTGCATCTGAAATTCTGTAACCATGAGATAACGTTTGTGATTGTTAATCATTTTTAGAAGATGAGATATTTCTGATTTTGATATTTGACATCACAGTTGTGCATTCAAGATCATTTCTGTTGAAATTCCTCACTGTATTTTAAGACTTTTAGAGAAGCAGCCAATAATGCTTCTTCGGGTTCATACTGTATAGTCAGAACCCAGAGGCCCGCGATCAGAACATTTACCGCCCCGAAATGCAGAAAATTTTATTCGCGTAACGATGTTTGTTGATAACCAGTTTAGCCAGAATACTGGTGCTGTGACAGTTATCGTTGTGGTTAGAATTTGAAGTCCTGCTGTACCCAAAATGTTTGTGGGTGGGGGCTTGCACAGTAGACCCACCAGTGCTCTGAGTGCTTGGGGCAAATGGAAGTTGGCCCCCCCGTACCAATACACGATACATATCCAAAATAGCATTATGTTTTAGTATGGGTACATTTCGAAAAACATTTTTTAGTTCCAAATTCCGTCATATTGAAACCCATGTTTTGGGGTCTTGACACTTGTACCAGAGGGTGCTAGTGGGCCCATTGTCATTTAAGTGAGGGATGTTTAAACATTTTCGAACTTTATCGTGATTGGGTAAACGAACCCATTTAGTCATGTGACCATAGACGCTCGACGTCATTGGACAACCAAACCTCTATCATGTTGAGTGCGTACGTCACAATTTTGCGGTCACGTGACCCTTGGTCGCCATCTTGGCAGTTTTCGGTGTTTAGGGTTAGTGACGTCGTCGACAAACAAAAATTGTTATCACACATTATATCATTTGAAGTTTAAATTACATTAGTCGTATTCGATAGGTACATGGTGGTGTCTTGTGCAGCCTTAGTTCAAAACTCCCGCTACTACCGTCCAGCCTATTTACATTGCCGAAGTGCTATGCAATATTGGCGGTAGGCTGTGCTGTCGGGACCCTTTTGATATAAAGAAAGAAATGGCGGGAGGCCAGAAGGCAGTGTAGTAGTTAAATGCTTATAGTTTTTGTTACAAGAAGTGCTCATTTATAGTATACTGGCAGAAGTAGTGTTGAAATGTCGAATTACATACACTATTACGGTTAAAGTCAGCAGCTTTATGTTCTGTGGTGGGAAAATTTTCCAACCCATTTACAACGTGTTGGTAGTAGAACACTACTGCCCTCTGGTGTTTATAAGTACACTTACGTCGGTGTCATTGCGGAAAGTGCTCGAGAGGTATGGAGAAATGAAAATCACCAAAACATTTTAGGTAAATTATGTATGCGTCTTCACTGACCTGACGAATAGTAATAGAACATGAAAGTAATTTAAATGTTGTGTTGTTCTGTTATCGTGTATTTGGTCGTTGATAAATTTGATTTTGTTAAATCCTTGGTCCTCCAGGAGGCAGGTGTGACGCGGTAAGCGTGTTGCATTTTTTAAAATACAAATTGTAATCGGAAATTAACATTGTAACAATAGAAGAATTCATTATTGCATGCTTCTACTTATGGAAACGTCAGTAGTACAAAATTTTTGTGTTCTGTTATTAATCTCTGAATTTCCATAATGAAGGAGGGCCCAAAATTAAAGCGGAAACCGCCATCTTGAAATATAGTTCGATATGAAATGGACATAGTGAAAACTCACCCTTCTCCTTTTAACATAACCTCACCTTATTGTTGTAGGTTCTCTCTGTGCCAACTCCAATGGAGGCAGTGGTGGGAGAGGCTGGTGAAGGAAGTAAGGAGGGAGCCGATGGCACTGTTAAAACAGGTATGATGGGTCATGTGTGATAATTGTTTGTAATGGGTATTGCATGCTGTATGATTTTATGGAGCTGAATGGTTGATCTACATTACATACTGCATATGAAAATCAGATGTTTATGAGGTATAAGGTTAGGTTTTAAAGCTGTAAATGCCATTTACTTTTGACTGTGAATTTTGGCAGGGCACCGGTTTGTAGTCAGCAGTTGAACATATCATTGTCAACCACTTCTGCTGTTACGTGGATGTGTATAAATTGATGTATGTATTATAGGTTTATGAGCGAAATTTTGTTATGTATTTGGCTTACATGTTACATTTAGTGACAGTTCATTCGCTTGGGTTTCTGATGACTTGTTCTTTGCCCATTTTGTTTCGTTATGCTTTCAAGGTTAGAATCTGAGTTATAAATGCAGGCACTGTAAATGTCGTACACATGGATATATTACTAAGTTAAATATCTAGTTAAACCCCATGTTTGCCTTTTATATATAAAAGCTTACAGCTGAAGATAATTTCTCTATGTTAGTGGTGGTACTTTATGCTGTATGTGTCATGGCTATACAGATCTGGTGATTGTTATGTGTATCAAAACATGGGATTGATGATGCAGGTTGCAGTGTATGTAGAAATGTATCTGCATAAATGCAGCGTATTAGACATCCATATGTGTTGTGGTATCCTGTTTCTGACTATTGCCTAAAGTGTGTGTTAACTTGTGTAGAATTGTTGTGCATTGTGTGTCACGTCCTGTTGGTCTCTTTAGTCAGTCCAGTGGACAGAATGTGTGACCTTCAATTTTGGGAGGAGTTTTTTTTTAGTTTTCGCATCTTAGTTTCATGATATACAAGATGTAAAGAATTTTGAGATAAACGTTCGTGGAGTGATATCTTAATGCTGATAAAACAATATTGCAGTCAAAAAATCCCACAGTTGTTACTTTAGTTGGGAACTGTAAAAGTTGTTGGACTCACAAGAGTCTGGAACTTTGGGAGATGGTATATGTGTGCCTAATTTGTGGCATTGTGATCTCTGCTTTATTGCTCAGATTCTGAAATACCAAAATAACACTCTGTTATGTTTGGCGAGTTGTATGAGGGATTTATGGCAGTCCCAAACCAGTTTTGAGGTGATCTGGTATTTGCCAAGTGGTTAAATTGCAGCTTGACTGGCTGATAGAACGTAGATGTTTCTGTTTTTATAGTTTCTATCTAGATTCTCAACTGTGCATGCCTTAATGGCATACATTTCTGCCTGGAATACCATTTTGTACTGTCCATGGCTAAAACTAAGTTTTCACCTTGTACCATGGCAGTACCCCCCAACTCCAGTGCCCTTATTTGTCTTGGAGCCATCTGTGTACCAGC